GAAAGAACAGTAAGATATAAAATCCGGTGTTCTTATAGATATAGACATCCCTTGTTCAATTTAAGTAGAATATTCTGTAACCATGGAAACGTGATTTTAGCTGTGTCTTTAAAACCCGGTAATTTTTAAAAGTTACTCCAAAATTCGCTTGAAGATGAAATGGAACTAATGCTTTTAATTTAATTGCAAAATTAAATTCGGGGTTTTTAGCTTCTATTTTTGAAACATGGTTGGAACTGTGTAGCGAAAAAAAACATATTTTAAATCAATTAATTTATAATATATATATATATATATATATATATTAGTTTATTATCTATAGGTCTATCTCTTTTGATGCGTATCTGTGCATCTCATCAGGCGATTGTAAATTACTTGCGGTTGAACTATTTATTTAGATTTAAAAGCAAAATATAACCATTTTTTTACGAAACAGGGCGCGGTTATAAGTTTTGTGTGCTTTCCTCAGATCAGCCAATTTGTTTTTGACGGAATATCTACCGCTCATAACCAACTTTTGAAAAATGATTTTTTCATTTTTGCTTCTTACCTTAGTTTAAATTTAACGTAGGTCATATTCTTCTGCTTGATCAGAGTGACGCCCATAAACCTTATAAACACCGAATTTTGTAAAAAAATTTATATAAATAAATAAATATATATATATATATATAGCCTCATATAATTAGGTATATATATTCTATTGTTATAATTTATTACATTGGAATCGTAATCACGATCCAAATCATCAGACATCTGAACTTTTATATTATATTCTTACTCTCCCCTGAATATTGAGTTCTACCTGGATTCTATCCTCTTGGGAATTTATATATATCTACACTTTCTTGTAATATATAAAAGTCATTCCATACAATTTTTATCTTACAGATTTATATGTCTACCATTTAGGCATGCATTGAATATTCCTGTCACATCTGGTCTTGGTCATCTGCTATGTATTTAGCGGTTATTAATAAAATACAAAGAAGAATCTGCAATGTTATATATCCTGATATAACATCTCGAATTCAGTCACTTTCTAACTGCTGTAAGGTTGCTTCTCTGCGTTCTTTATAAATATTTTCAAGGTAAGTGTTCTAATGAACTTTCCCCATTGGTACTTCAACTTCATGAATTTAAGCACAGTACTCGATTGGTATCTAAGTTTCATGATTTCTTCTCATTTACTTCTCACCTGTGGAACTCTCTTCCGGCTTCTTGATTTCAGGTACAATCCTTAAAATATTAAATGCAACGTCAATCGTCATCTTCTGTCTTCCTGAATTGTATTCTTTTCTTATTATTTTTTTCAAAGTTTGTTCAGTTTCTTTCACGGTCAATATGGAGAAGAGCGCTGTTAATAACCACAGCTTGGTACTCTGTATATTAATGGACCCACCTTCTACTATTAAAAAAAAAAAAATACTGTAAAATAAACGATTTATATTTTTTACGTTTTATTCGTTACTTTTGCTTGAAAATATTTTCTTGATATAAAAAAACAGCAACCATACCAAAAAAGATACTAGTGTGTTAAAGATTTGATTGGTGAATGTCGTGACACAATCGTTATGATTTCAACCTCCGGACCGTTAAATTTGTACTTGTATACATAAAGATGTTTTTTTAAAAGTGTTGTTTGTATATGAATACGTCGTATTGAACTATAATTTTAAAATATTATTCTTAATTTTAATTATTAATAGACTATACTTCTTTTAAAACAAATAAATGTAATAGAATTACTTAAATTATTTTAAAATTATTATTAAATATCAAATATAAATATATGTATATCCTTTATCAGTTATTTTTTTAATTAAATATTGCTTAAGTAAAATTTTTGTCAATGTCGGCAATGTCTAGCGATGGAACCATATTTTTTAATAAGTAAATTTATATCTATTTTATATATATATTTATTATGCATTGTTACATTAGAATATGTAAATATACACTACAAAATTGTACATTTTGTTTCAACGTTAAATGAACGTTTTTCAGGTGGAAAACAATGATGGTACCAAACGATTTTATTCATAATTACGATTAACAAAACACTGCTTCACTTTCCATAAAAGGTAAAAAGGATTTAGGTAAAGAGAAAGGGAGGAAGATAAGAAATAAAAATGAAAGAGAAAAGGAAAATTTATTCGTTATAAATCTTTTTGATTATTTTCTCTAACCTCTTCAATAATATACAGATTGACAAGCACATCGGGGACAGAAGATTCTATCCCTGTCTCGGAAGTTTATTCACAGAAAACGGAAAGTACGCTACGGAAATGTATCAAGGATCATTGGAAAAGCAAAAGATAGCTTCCAAAAAATGATAAAAATATTAAGAAACGGAAAAAAAATCGCTAGAAACAAGGAAAAGGGTCTTCCTATACGGCAGTGAATGCTGTACACTCTTCGCACAGATAAAGGAGGGATTGGCGGTAACAGAAATGTGTGTCTATCAAAAGATGATGAGAATACCATGAACCGAACACGTGAGCATTGGCAAAGTTCTAGAGACAATGGCCAGAAAACGTTTGTAAATTTGAATAAATCTACACTTATACTTATCAAGAATGGACAGTTGAAATTTCTTGGGTACATAATGAGGAAAGACGGCTTGGAATATGTAATACTCACAAGGCGGATTGAATGTAAGATAGACTGAGGAATGTAAGGCGTACTCTATCTGGAGAGCGTAAGTGAATGGAGGGCGGATCGGGGTTTGAGAGAGATGACAAAAAATTATTAAGAGCTACAAAGAACGGGAAATATAGAGAGCCATGTTCGATAATTTCCTGAACAGACAAAGCATATAGCTACTTTCACTTGGTACCCCGACAGTATGATTTTAAGCGTGATACAAAGCTGCCAACTCGGTCCCACCCTTTTACTATCTAAACAGTTAAATATAACCGCCACTTCTACTCCAACAGCTTCTTCTCTCGCACTTCCAGCCAGTGGAACACCCTTCTTTCTACTTGCTTCGCTGATAGCTATAATCTTCAAATATTTTAATATAATATCAATCGACATCTTCTGATTATATGCCCCTGATCCCCATCCTTTCCTATATGTTTTCCTCAAACACCCCTCTTTACTCTTGCTCTCACTCTCTGTAATCCCTTGTGTGCTAGTAGCACTCCAGCCTTACTTTGCGTGAAATGCTTAAAAAAAAAGCTTAATTATTTCAACTCAAGCAAGGTGATAAAGCCTCTAATATGCAAGGGGTAACTGAGAGTGAAAGAAACTGAGAAAACATTATTGATGATAGAGAAGACAATAAAAGAAAAATAGTTCAATATGACAGAAGATCACGAGTGATGTTTCATTTAAATTTTTGAAATCAAAGAATATTTTGTCCCTGTGATTTTGGAAAGCAAGAAGCTGGGGAGTAAGTTCCAAATGCAAGAATTGTGATGCTAATAGCTTTATTTTTGTCCTCTGTATTGTGATGATCGATACTTGCATGAATTGCCCTCATTTTGCAAAAGTGACATGTTAATCTACGAGGGAGTGTTGCGCTTATGTGACCAACGTATGAATTTAATGTTTTATTCTGGGAGGAGTGATATCATAGTTATATTAATCTTTATCGCAGTGACCGAAGAAATGCAGTATTTTTCGGATATACCTATATCAAACATGTGAACATATATTAATGCATGTATGTATATATAAGGACGATAGCCACACGCACACACACACACGCACACACAAAATAAAAACAATTATTAAGAGCTATAAAGAACGTGAAATTTAGAGAGTCATGTTCGACAATATCCTGAACCGACACAGCATATAGCTACTTTCACTGGTACCCCAAAAGCATGAAGGAAAGCGTGATATGAAGTTGGCATCCCGGTCCCACCCTTTTAATGTCTAAACAGTTAAAAGGTGCTAGTAGCACTCCCGCCTTACTTGGGGTGAAGTGCTTAAAAATATATAGCTTAATTATTTCAACTCAAGCAAGGTAATAAAGCCTCTAATATGCGAGGTGTGTTGAGCATTATATGAACAACGTATGAATTTAATGTTTTATTCTGGGAGGTGTAATATCATAGTTATATTAATCTTTATCGCAGTGACCGAAGAAATGCAGTATTTTTAGGGTATACCTATATCAAACATGTGAATATATATTAATGCATGTATGTATACATAAGGACGATGGCAACACAAAAAACATTTCATAACAGCTTAGCACAACTTGACAGTTTCCTTACAAATACGAAAACCAATACCTTCAGAAATGTTTTGATCCATCGAATTCTCGTTGTATTTTCCAGTTTTCTACTTACATGTTTTCTACGTTCGCATATTTTCTTTGTTGCATTTACGTTGTATTTTCTTATATTTCATTCTACTTTCGTTGGGTACTTTTTCGTTTCATCTTTTATACTGATATCTGTTTGTTTAATTTGTTCTCTTCATCTTCTCTTTCAAAATTTCACCGACTTTCCCTTTGTGGATTTCTTACTTTTAAATTCTTTTATTTATCCTACTCATTTCATTTCGTTTACTTTGATTCCTCATTTTTACACAACCTTTTCAGTCTTTCTTTCTTTGTTCTTTTTTCTTTTTTTTCTTTGCCTTTTTCTATATTTGTTGCAGATGTCTGTGCTTTCTATCCCGATTTATATACTCATTCTTCTCCTACGTAATTATTTTTTCTCTACACAGTTTATTTATCATTTTAATCTTTTTTTTTTTTAATTTTTCAAATTCCGCTTTTAATTCCAAACACCAAAATTTTATTTTCCTGCTCTATTTTATTTTAATTATTTTTAATTAATACCTGTTTTTCGTTTCGGCTTCTCTTGTTTTTATTTTTATTCTTTTTAATATTCGGTTTTCCTTACATTCATTTTTTTCTCGTCTCTCTTTCGTACATAACTTCCTTTCTATTCTTTTCAACTTCCGGTTATTTATTCTTCCATTTATTTTTTTTTCTTTCAGCGCATCTGTTTTTTACTGCGATTTTTGTTTTTATAAAAATGTCTCTATCCCATTCCTTCCCTTTACGAATTTCATTCTTTTTCTATCATTTCTCCTCTTCCTTTCTAATGGGTTCATTCTTTCTGCTTTTCTTATGTCCTTCGCTTTATAGTTTCTTTCTTCTTTTGATCATTCTTTCTCTTTGTTGCTATGTTTTATTCTTTGCTTCTATTTTTGCCGTTATTTTTAAATTTCGGTTTCCTTTCTTGAGATTCCTCGATTCAATATACCTTTATAATTTCTTTCTTATCACTATTTTTTCGTTTATTTTCAATAACCCTATTTTTTCATTACGTTTTGTTTCTAGCACATTTTCATCGTACGTCTGCTATTCTACATTTCTTCCCGCCATTCTTTCTCTGTGTATTTTAAAATCTATTTTTACCATCTTTTTCGATTCGGCTACAATTCAGTTCCTCTTTTTTGTTGTTACTTCGTTACCGTTACCGCCATTTTCTTTTCTCTAATATATTTATTCCAGTCTTTCCTTCTCTTTTTTTTCTCCATTATTATTGTTAAGCCCAATGTTTGATTACTTTTGTCCAAACTTTATCCATCTTTCTTAACTTCGTATCTAATAACCCGTTTCTTCCACACACAAACGCGCTTACACAATCATTTTTTTTCTTCTCAGGAACAAAATTAGACATGTCTGATATTCTATCATTTCTAGTCTTCCATAAATATCTTGCCAACCCGAACGCCTGGTTCATATTTACAAGAGCACTTCTTAAGACGATGTCTTTAATATTTTTTAATTTTTTTTTATTCATTATTTCTTTCTTTTACATTTATATTCATCCGTTTTTCCTTTGTCTCTTACGTTTTTAGTGTGAAAAAATGTAGCCTCAGTAAGCAAAATTCATTTTTCTGCCGTTCAATATTCGAAGACTTCATACAAGCGAAACACTGAAGAGAAAAGAAAGGAATGTAAAAAAGGACGAGGAAAGATGGAGGCGAAAAGCAATAAGCCCCTTGAACAAATCAAGCTAACAAGAAACAACAAAGAAAGACGGACATTGACAAAAACTTTTCCTAAATAATACCTGTTCACAAAATGTTTTCGGTGAAATACAAAAATTGTGTCCAGATAGAAAACATTTTACTATCGTCTTGTCAACATTGATAGCTGATTTGCTCGATCGTCCCTGACGATTTTAAAATCGCGCCTAGGTGTACGCTCAAGGTAAACGAGTATTCAATTGTTAATGTTACATTTTAGGGATAAATATAAGGTTGGCACGTAAGATTAACGGCGCGGGAAAGTGGAATCGACGTGCTGAGTTCAAGATCCGGTCGAGTTCATTGCTTTCGATTTTATATTAATGACTTCGGTAAAGGAATGGGCTCGTTCTTATTTTCACAGCTATAGGCTAAATAATCAGATAGGTTAGTCTCTACTGCCTTACGTGACAACCAGTCTAGCAGAAGAAATCGGTGTATTTCAAAGAGTGGAGAAGATAACTGTAAAACAATCCACTATCTTCCCTAAAAAGGCATGCTATATTTGAATGTCCAGCACTATTAAATTTTGAATAGATTTTATTTCATTAGTGCAACTTATTTAAAAAAAAAACTCCCAAAATTGCAAGTTATAAAATTAAACATTATTTACATTATTAGGATTATTGTCCTCATCTTTGTCGCCATATTTATCACAACGTTTCGGCCGTTGTACGCTCCGGTCTTCTTCAGGTGGTTAGAATGTCGAATACCGGGGTAGATTGTTTTAGTCCACGTGCCATGCATGATGGATGTCAGTTATCAGTTATGCCCTGTTAATTTCCCTCTGAAATTTCTCCACTGCCTTAACCGGGTATTGAACTCACACTCTTTGGGTCCTGTCACTGGATCTAACCAACGACTTTATCCACTGTGCCATGTGTCCTTGATAACTGACATCCATCAAACATGGCACGTGGAACTAGAACAGTCTACCCCGGTGAGCGAAATAAAGGGTTCAGTTCGACATTCCAACCACCTGAAGAAGGCTGGAGCGTACAACGGCCGAAAAGTTGAGATAAATATGGCGACAAAGATGAGGGCAATAGTCCGAATAATGTAAATAATGTACATAATGCCTCATCTCGGAAATATAGACAGACATAAAATTAAACATTGAAATAGTATTGAAATTTCTGATTCGTGTGCCGATAGCTTAGGGGTAGAGTCTCTGACTGGCGGCAAATCCGTCGAGTTTTGATCTCGGATGTTTATCCACACTGATGAGCTGTGATACAGCGAAACGGTTTCTGTGGAGGACTTGCTCTCGTTCGGTGATTGAGAACTATGGCGAAAGGACATTTTTAACTGCTGTTGCTCCTGGTTATAACGCATTGACATTCAGTTATTAATTGAACGTTCTGACTGCTAATTTGACGTTTATATACATCACGTATATAATGCGCTAAGAGCTTCGATTTTTGCCGTGCTATGAGAGGTTAGGAGTAGGCCCTCTGAATGATGCCAAATTGGTCAATTTTCGATCCCGGCCTGAAGCAATCGCGTTTCTAGCCACAATGATCGGCTGTGATACAGCGAAACAGTCTGTTTGTGAATATATATATATATATATATATATATATATATATATATATATATATATATATATATATATTCAATGGCTTTCCACTATACTGCAACCGATTTAGGAGCAGTATAACTCTGCTTGTATTAAAGATTCATATGAATTCTCCCGTTTTATGCATCGTTATTCGCCTACGGATAAATTTATGTGTTCCTATGATATGGCCAGTTTATTTACTTGCGTCCTACTTACTGAAACAATCGATATATGTGCTGATGCCCTGTATCGTAATCAATTGTCTCCGCCTGTTATTCCGGAAGATGTGTTTGTTGAACTGATGAAATTTGTCACGATATCAGTTGAGTTCAGTTTCGTCGGCATCATGTCCAGGCAGATTGATGGTGTTTCGATGGGTTCCCCTTTGGGGCCCATCTTAGCAAATATCATTGTTGGGTTCCAAGAAGAGAGTGTACTACTAAAATCTGATAAACCTGACTTTTATTTCCCTTACGTCAATGAAACTTTTTGTCTCTTCGATAAAAGCGGACCAATTTCTTGCGTCCCTTAACAATATACATCCGGCCTTGAAATTTATACAGGAAAAGGAGGTTAATTCATCTCTTCCCTTTCTCGATGTACACGTCAGCAGACCTCCATCGGTTTTTTCTTACTTCTGTCTACCGTAAACCGACGTTTACTGGTTTGTATATCCATTGGAATTCTTTTTGTCCCAGGAAGCTGAAAATTAATTTAATTAAAACCCTTACCCATAAGGCTCTAATGATCTGTTCGGACATCAATTTGGATGATGAACTCAGGTTTATTACTTCTACTCTCGGCAACAATGCCTACATATTAGGCATTGTTCAAGCAATTATTAAGAATAAAATTGCTGAATTTAACAAAGTCAAACCTGCTATATTAAAAAGGTGTGCTTTTTACCTATGCCTTCCTTGGCTCGGTAGTTTCAGTGATAGGTTTGCTAAGCAGGTTTCTACCGCAGGTCGACATCTGCCGATGACACTCGTTTTGTTTTCTCTGCCAGGCCTGACCTTCAGTCTATGCGCAAGGATGTTCTTCCGTCACATCATAATAGTTCGATAATTTATTCTTTTATATGTAGTCGCGGTTCGCACTACATAGGGAGAACGACTTAAAAGCTGGATGTTACAATAAAACAACACGTTCCCGCGAAAATACGAAACCTTAAGTACATTTTGACCAATACATACTGGTCTTCCATCGTAGAACACCTTATAAATAGCCATAAATGTGCTGTTAATTTTAGTGGTGACGCTTTTACTATCCTTAGCAAGTTCTGCTCAAATTACCACCTGAAAGTTTTGGGGCCATCTATATTCTATCATTAAAGCCGTCTCTTTGTAAACACAAGGACTTTATATTTGGCTTTCAACTAATTACCATTTAAATATTTTCTTTCTCCCCCAATACATTTCGTCCATTTTTCTTTTGATATCATTTAATTTATTTACATCGATTTAGCTCTGTTGAGTGAGGTTCAAAACCGGTTAGCTAGCCGGTTTTTAATTTTTAATTTTTATTAACATCATGAGTGGTAATAATTGAACTAATTTTTGTCTGTTCATTGCAGTCATAAAATTCTGAATATATATATATATATATATATATAAATATATATTTATATATATATATATATATATATATATATATATATATATAAGACATGCCTCATAAAATAATTTAAAAAAATGTGTCTACTTATTTTAATAGGATTCTATCATAACTAGCATCCTTATTGAAAAAACAAAGAAAATTATCATGTTGATGCATATTCATTTCATTTCATTCCAAGTACTTTCGACATTAGCACAATGTCATCCTCAGGGTGTTGCTTTTTATAAGACAAAAATGTTTTGAGTTTTCATTCGAATCATGGATCTAAAATCTTCCAACATTCACAACAGCATGTTTGTCCATATTCGCAATTTAGGAAAATTGTTGTAGAAAATACATCTATACTTTTTAATGAAAATACTAAATATAAACTAAACATTCTTGAAGCTATCTATATTAAAAAAGGAAATCAACTCTTAATGACAAATCTTTTAAAATATTTACAATAGATACATTAAAATATACAGGTTGAAATCATATTTATATACAGTTTTTTTTTACACAATTTACATTATTCGGTCTAATGTTCTCATCTTTGTCGCCATATTTTTTACAACGTTTCGGCTGTTGTACGCTCCTTCGGAAGGTCCTTCTTCAGGTGGTTGGAATGCCGAACTGAAACCTTTATTTGTCTCACTGGGGTAGACTGTTCTCATTCCATGTTTAATGGATGTCAGCTATCAGTTATCTCCTGTTAATTCCCCTCTCCAAGTTCTCCACTGCTTTAACCGGGTATTGAACTCACAGTCTTTGGGTCCTGTCACTGGATCTAACTAACGCCTAACTGTTCCATGTGCCCTTGAGGACATCTGTGTATGAATTTATGGGTATTATAAACCTAATGTCTTCAGCAACCATGTAGAGATTTCAATGACTTAGTTACATCTGTTGACGTTTACATCATAAAATTTGAAAACTGTACAGTGCATAACCTTGGCATTTTTCACAAGTAAAAATTTAATTTTCAGATTAAAACTGTTTTGTCTTATAAAATCGATGAACACAACAATTCTTTGTCTGAGATAAGAGAACACCCTGATGGTGACAATGTGGTAATGTCGAAAGTACTCGGAATAAATCAATATGTATTTGCAAGTTAATGTTATTTCTTCCTTTTGTGACGTCGTCCCCCGGTCGCAGCGCCAACTGTGACGTTCTATCCTGATCTACCACGGCGCCAATTGTGACGTCCCCAAACAGCACCAATTGTGACGTCCTCGACGCGGCGCCAGCTGTTCGCTCCTCGCTGCTCCGTCCGGGTGTCGCTGCTCCAAACGTGACGTCCGCCTGTCGCGTCAGTCGAGTTGTCTCGTCCTGTGACGACCAACTGGCTTGGTATCGGTCGCGGCACCCAAATGTGACGTTCTAACCTTTTGGTGATTCGGGTGGGAATCTGGTTAGATTTGATATCAGCCTCGTCGTTCCCAACTCGCTTCCAACGCCTGGTTACCAAGGTAACTGCATTGATCTCCAGTCTGCCTACCCACGTTGTGAATTGATCTTAGACAGACGAGATCAAACAGTGGTTGGGGCCATAATGCAAATTGAGTTTAACGGGGGTGATACTACACCAATATGTATAAAAGAAAAGAAAATGAAAACTCAAAAAGTTCAAAGTATCAAAGAAAAAGGTAACAAACTTTATGTCTAGTTGTTCGATACATAGGACTGCATCTATCTCCCGACCCGTTCTGTGGACTGTGACACGTCGTTTCCGCTAGGCAAGTTTTAACGCTTCAAGTTGTTTGCTCTCTAAGAAATTGGTGTTTCTGTGTGTCTTTGGACGAAAGTCTAAAAATTTATTTCGGTGGTCTGGTTCTAAGTCGCTCTTCAAAACAATTGTTCTTGGGTGGAAGAGGAATCCGGAATTTTTGCGTGAATCTTGGTCAGCTATCTCGAGGCGGCTTCAACTGGAGACTGACTCTGGGAACTCAACTCTGGAAACTCGAGCCCGAACTCTGATTTCTGCCTGTTGGGGCCTCGCTTTTATTGACGCCGACCAAAACCGGGGTGGTTCTGTTGGCGTCAGGGGGTTCCTCGATAATTCTAAAGACATATCCACCTCTTTTATTTCTGGTTAGGGATTTTCCACTCTTTTCCATTTTTGGGAACCCTTCCTCACTCCCACTTTCTCACCATACCTCTGAGGGGCGTGAACTGCCCTCCCCACTTCTTCGTAGCAGCTTCTCATACTTATACTCTGGATGGGGCGTCGACAGCCTTCTTCGTGCGTCACCTGATCACTCTCGGCCAATGAGGTCTTGGTCGGGTATCTTTCCTCCTCCTTTGTGCGTCACGTGTTCACCACTTGACCAATGATGTCTTAGTCGGGCGTGAACAATCCGTGGCATTGTTTCGGGAAAAAATAGGTTGCTTAACTAAAAAAAAAATTATCTCTTCTCTTTCGCTTAAATCGCCGTTATCATTTCTCTAGCCACGGACAATATGACAACTCTTATCTTATCGCTAATTCATCAAGATGGGTGGTATTCTTAACATGGCTTCAAAAAAAGAATTATCCCCAAAGTTTTCAGTCAGTCTGTCTGTCGCCTCCAAGGAAGAAAGAAAAACACTTCTGGTTCCCCGTAATTTTATTATCGACGGCCAAAATTGTTTCGTCGAAAAGAATTCTGTCAGCGCACTGCTTGTGTGGGATTTAATTTTTCATATCTGTCCAAAGTCCTTTTTAGTGGCCTGTTTCTCGTCACTTATCGAAATAGCATTTTCACTTGAATTTTTCCCTGGCCAGTGGTCTAGATAACACAGCCGTTATCAAAACACATCTGGTTGCTTCTTTCCTTTCCTTTTCTTTTTTACTCAGAAATTCCCTGTCATTGTAATGACACCCTTTTCATTTGTTACTTATCAATATTTTCATTGTCTCTTAGCCGTGTGTGTGTCTGCTTATCACCTATGATTCGTCTCGCATTTCTTTCTGCCTTCCTTTCTTTCTCTTCCTTTCTCTGCCTCGTAAATGGTGCCACACTTTAATAAAGATATCATGAAATTTTTCCATAGTTATGTGAAAAACCGTCAGTAAACAAAACTTTTCGAAAATATTTAATGAGACACGTCTTAATGAAAACCTGATGCCAAATGCCAAAAATACATATATATATATATATATATATATATATATATATATATATATATAAGTCAGTTATGTACCATGCGTGATACAAGATTAGGCGATCATGTAACTTTCGATATATGAGTGACGAGGCAGATTTTTTCCGCAGTAGGTTGCCATTTCTTTCTGTGGTAGACCAGTTACCATCCAAGGCTATAGAACCAGGTATGTCCTAATATTTAGTCATAACAGGTGAGGGGAGAGAAGAAGAGGACTCATACCTTTCCCAAGGGTATCAGCACATAAGTGAATGAAATGGATTTGACTGGAATTCGAACCCGGCTCTCCGATCCCTCAATCCGATCTGCTGTCCATTACTCCACCATGCCAAAATGGCAAAATACACAGAAAGGTAAATAAAGTAATATGGCGAAAAGTGGGGGTCCTTTTCTTAAAACGTTAGAAGGCAAAATAGACAATTCTATAATTATATCTTTTTTTGAGTGGTTGCTTGTGTGTTTGCCACCGTGCACACGAAGTCATATATACAGAGTGGAGGAAAGAAAGACGCAAAGTTATTAACGTGTAGGGAAGAGGAGAGAAGGAAATGGCGTGTAAACATGAATTAACAGTGAGACCAAAAGAAGTTCGCCTCAGGTCGTGACCTAATTTAACATTCGGATTTGTGAACATAAATGGGTTTATAATAAGAAAAGTCTCTGAATCGAGCTTGCGTGGTGCGTCGTCCGACAGGTGCAAGAGTTTCTTTCCACCTCCTTCTTTCCACCGCTCTCTCAGTCTCTCTCTCTTTCCATCTCTCTCTTTCCACTTTTCACTCTTTCCACCTGTTTCTTTCCAACTTTCTCTCTTTCCACCTCTCTCTTTCCAACTCTCTTCTTTCCAACTCTGTCTGTTTTCACGTTTTTCACTCTCCCTCTTTCCACCTCTCTTTCTTCCCACCTCTCTCTCTTTCCACCCCTCTCTTTCCACCTCTCATTCTTTCCACCTCTCTCTTTCCACCTTTTTATTCCACCTCTTTCTCCTCCCACCTCTCTCTGTTTCCAACTATCTCTTTCCACTTGTCACTCTTTCCATTTCTCTCTTTCTACCTCTCCTTCTTTCCACCTCTATTTCCACCTCTCTCTCTCTTCCCACCTCTCTATTTTCCACCTCCTTTTCTCTCTCTCTCTCTCTCTTTCCACCGCTCTCGCTTTCCACCTTCCCGTGACTATGTGCGTGCTTATTTATATTTCAACTTTCTTTAAAAAAAAAAAAAAAAAATTAGAATAAAAATAAAGAATTAAAAATACGAGCAAAAATATTGTAAATAAAATTGTTTTGTAAATAAAGATAAAGTTTAATAAATATAATTCGTTTCCAAAACTAACTGCAAATTTTATTTTAAAATATATCTACTTTCACAAGCCCTTCAAGAGACCAAATGTAATCAGTAAACACAACAAGGTTTACCCAACGGTTCACGGGTTGTTCAGTTAGTTCATATATGTAAACATTTCCGATAGGGTATATCTGTAAAATGATATTATGAATAAAGACATGAGCAAAAACTTAACTTAGCCTAGAGGAAACGCGTCGACTAAGATGAGTTTTCCTTTTACTTATATTAGTGCATGGTAATCGTTGTGATGAGCTTCCTTCTATTGGTAACTAGATTTTAAGAATTTAATCACAGTACCAGGTGGGCATCAATTGTTACTTCGTTTTCCCGTTGAAATCACTAGATACAACTGCAAGTTCTATGCTAATATTTTCTTCTCTCTTCCGGGTTATGGGTTCCTAGCCAATTTTGAGCTTCAAATATTTAAATGCAATGTCAATTGTTATCTTCTCTCTTGTTCATTTCTTTTCTTGTATTGTTCTCTCGCCTTAATAATATTTTAATTTTCCTCGTATTGTTTTCACACTCAGTACCCCCTTTGTGTCTTAGCTGCTTCATTGCCTTGCTTGCGTGATATGATTAAAAAATATATAAATAGTAAAATGAAAATAAAATGAAAATAATTATTATTTCTGGTCAAAGTGCTTATTGCCCAAAGCCAGAGCAATGTCTTCGTAATAAAGAAGGGACTTAAAACAAGATCTGTTTCTGAGTAGGAATCAACTTCAGAGAGTCTCGTTATGTCTTTGTGTCTGACACTGTCACTCTCATCGTCACTGTTACGAAAGAATTTCTAAAAATGAACCAAGCGTTCTTGAAGATATATGTGTGTAATTATATATACGAACCCTCTGTGATAGCGATATCAGTAAGCGTCATCTGGACACAGTTAGCATGGCTGCAAGTGTCTCATCGTTTTTTCGTACACTGCCACTCAGTTGTTACACACAAAAAAGCGTGTATATATATATATATATATATATATATATATATATATGAAGAAATATATTCTTAAGGTATGCTATATTTATGGGATAAAGTGCTCAATATTAGAGATAGAACGTGTGTAAATATAAAATTGAACATTGAAATCAACACTCAGAGACGGCAGGCTGTTTCATGCTAGACGCATACGTCAGGCCTGATATATATATATATATATATATATATATATATATATATATATATATATACAGAGAGAGAGAGAGAGAAGTAAATATGGCTTATGACATTTGGTTATGAAGGTGTGTTCGTATGACCTTTTTCATTTCTGAATAACAGTCAATATTCCTGTATTTCGAACTATTGTTTTTACTTGTAGCCTATAAGTGTTGTCTTCACTATTCACTTTTATATTTACACACGTTCTATCTCTGATATTGAACACTTTATCCCATAAATATAGCACACCTTAAGAGTAAATTTCTTCATATATATATATATATATATATATATATATATATATATATATATATATACGTTTGCTATTGTGTGTAACAACTGAGTGGCAGTGTAGGAAATACCGATGACCTACTTGCAGCCATGCTAACTTGGTCCCAATGACGCTTACGGATATCGCTATCAAGGAGGCTTTGTATATATAAGACACATATATCTTCAAGAACATATATCTTCAGATGTGATTATAGATAACATACGTTACACGTTTTGATCAAATATCAACTTCAAATAGTCTCGTTATATCTTTGTGTCTGACAATCTCACCGTCTGCGTCCCGAAAGAATTTCTAAAAGTGAAAAAAGCGGAGTTGAAGATCTATTCGGTGGATTATGTATACGAAAGCGATATCAATACGCACCCTGTTAACGCGTCCTGTTAACGCGTCCTGATATCGCAAAGTAAGCATGACAGGTCATCGTTATTTCGCACACTCTCCCTCAATTGTTACACAAAAAAACATATATATATATATATATATATATATATATATATATATATATATATATATATATATATATATATATATGGCGTATATATATATATATATATATATATATATATATATATATTTACATGTAAAGATGGTTTGTGAAACTTGGCTATGACGCTGTGTTCGCAAGGTTATTCATTTCTGGGTAACAACCAATATCCGTGTATTATTTCGAGTTGTTGTTTTCATCCTGTTTGTTATAGATGTGATTACAGATAACATACGTTGTACTTTCGACCAAGTACCCGCTGGTCATCATCCGTTAATTGGCTGTTATGAGTTATCTGTTGATTATTCTGACATATCGCAAATATTGAAATAATAACTAGCTCTCATCATTTCATATAATTTTAGCCGTACTTAATGTAAGATTGATGGATTCGTTTTCTACGGCTTGTCAACCTTTATCAGGTTATTTAAAGCCAGAAAATTGATTGCTAGATTGTAAGATTATTTAAAGCCTAAACGTATTTTTGATTGTTAGATTAATTCCTTTTTTAGTTGCATGCGAATATTGTTTTAATACTTTTTGCGTGGGTGGGTAACAGTTATTTATTCAGATACATGTCCTGCTGTTTAACTCGTCTATGTGTCGTGTCCCTTCAGAGAGTTGCTCTCCACGATTTCCCGTCCTTTGTAACTCTTAATAATTTTTGTCTTTTATTATCTCTCCTAAATTTTTTTTCCACCAAACATTTACTCAAGCTTATCAAATGTCTAATGCTTGGTTTTCCTTTGTCTCATTTGCCTTCACTCTGTCCTGTGAGTATCAAAATTTCCAAGCCCTCTTACCTCAGTACGTGCTCTAGAAATTTCGACTCTCTCTTCCTGATGTTAAATAAGATTATCTTTTTTTGTTTCCATTTCTTGTAAACATACGTATTTGATTAAATTGTATCCACCTATCAAATCTCATCGCCATATTTGAGATTTTTCAACATTCACTTTCTTATAGGAGGACAGATAGTACGTAACAGTTCAGTATTATTTTCTTTTTTTCTAAAGAATTTTTTCTGTCTCTTAATAATTTGCTTACCTTTTGGGGTGTATCTTTGTCTATACTAATAAACTTTCGATTTTCAGTGTCACACTAGCTGTCATCTGTTAAAAAAAATTCCCAGATATTTAAATTGTTATATTGGTTTTAGTATATCAATCTCTCTCTTTATATAAACCATAGGATGTCTCAGTGATACCCATTTCTGTCTCTGTGATACACTTTGCGAGGTCTATCCAACCAATTTTGATCAAACATTATACAATGTAAGAAATAGATTCTTAGCGTAAAAATCGGTAATCTTTTAAAAAATCAATAATCGATAAAGCCGATCCAAATCAATGGATTCAACTTTTTTTTATCCGATTTCGTTCAAACTCGTTAAGTAGGTTACTTGCATCATGATGAGCTCAACGATAACTCATTTTTATTCCTACGCCACTGCGTTTAGCGAAAAACCGCCAAAAAACGAAAGTTCGATTTAACACAAATCAATTTCAACACAAATTTTAAACTAAAATCTCCCTCAATTTTCATACAAACTTCACTCAGTTTTAGGCAATTTGATTGTTTAACTTCATTAAACTTGATAACTGTGGCCACTTATATAATGAAAACCCGGGGAAATAGCACAAAATTTTTCTGGTTCTTTCTTATTTTTGATCTTTCAACTAACATTCATCAAAGATAATAATTGTTTAATCAATGTATCCCATTTTGCCTCCCTCCACTAACAAATTGAATTTCAAAAACTCCAAAATAATTGTGGTCTGAAGTGAGTCTTCATGTTGCCTATTTTACAACTTCATGTCCTCGGCTCACGTCGATTGAATAAATACAGACTACTTCTGTTATATCAGTAACTGCATTAATTCAAACTGTTTTTTAATGAAAGCACTTTAAAATAATTGAAGACTGTGTTACATCTAAACATGATGGTGTTTTTGCTCCATTCTAATTAAACGCTTTTACTGATCGACCAGCTGGGTATGGCTGCTAGTTTCTAATATGCATTTTAGGTTCTTCCTGACCCAGCAAAATTAAATATATATCCCATGAGACCAGGTCATTTTAGGAGTATTCATAATTAACCAAGTTATTTTAAGGGTAACTTTACTTTCCCCGAATTATTTTAAGCATGATTATACTTAGCCCAGTAGAATTTAATTATATCTCCATTGAGCACAGCTTTCTTTTAAAGAGTAACCTTAATTGCTGGGTTATTTTAAGGGTAGCTTTGATTTTCCTAGGTTAGTTTAAACCTAGCCATAATTAGCCCGGCAAAATATAAGTTCTAACTCGAGTGGCTCCTGTACAGGCTTGACATCATTAAAGTCCAGGTTATTTCAAATGAAGCTCTATTTAAGCAAAGTTATTTAAAAAGCAAAATATTATTCCCGGTTATTTTAGAAATAACTCTAAGACAAGTTTATTTTGTTTTTTAGAACTAATTAGCACATACTATTTTAAGTATGCCTCTTGATAGCCCATCTGATTTACAAATATGTCTAGTTAGCAAACATGTTTTTAATCTTAGATCTACCTAGCCATTTCTAAAATAAGATCCTTTCTAATTACCTCAGATTATCTTAAAATGGTCATTAATTCGTCCAGAGGGATTTATAGTAGCTTTAGTTCTCCCAGTTTATTTTCAAAGTCGTTAGAGTTTCCACAATCAATTTTAATTTTGGCCCAACTTGACATCATCTATATAAAGGATAGTTATCCCAGGTTATTTTAAGGTTAATTCCAGTTAACTTATGCAGATTAAAAGTAGTATAATTTGCCCAAATTATTTTCACTCTCTCTTTTGACCAGCTAATAATATGATTAGTTTAAATAAGCAGCAAGGCTACTGATCGTGAGTTTGGAGTTTTTGGGGAACGTGAAACCAGCTTTTAATTACTGTTGTTCCCTGATCAAACCTAACCCGGTGTGGTAGCACTTGTTGGGCTCATTGCTATGGGCAAATAGGTAAAACAAAAACAAAACAATGAAAGCATAAAAATACCATTTTATAGAATGGCCAACAATAAATTTTATCTGTAGTTGAAGACATAAAATTGCGTTCAAAATATTTAGATTTCGGCATTGAATAACCTGTAATGGTTGATATGTCACCAAACAAAAAAAAACTAACCCACAAGAAATGACTATTTCATGGCATTAATCCATTCAATATCCGACCATTTCTCGAAGAAATCAAACTGTATTGTAAAAATATAACTTCAACAAATCAACTTAAGTCACTACGACCATCCCCCATTAGTAAGCATGTTCCCAAAAACTTGTATATGCACATAATTTGAGTATCATCTACCATGTATTTAATTGTAAGAGCTGAATAACTTTTTTTTTCTTTGAAGCCTCAGCAAATATTAAATTTCGGCATTAAATGTCCCATAATGAATTGATATGCATATAAACGAACATCTCTATCAATAAAAGGCAGGATGTGTGTGTGTGTGTGTTTGTGTGTACGGCCGCAATTTTCGACGGATTTACACCAAAATTTACATGCTCCAAGTTAGCGGGAAGGCCAAGATCGACTTTGCATTTCCCAACTCCCATCGATAGTGGAAATAATCGATTCTTTCATGCTTCTACAGCAGTTTTCATGTAGTCTGCGGCCATTTTCTACTGGTCAGAATAAGAGCCTATAGCTGGCTGCCACAAATAGACAGGAAGATTCTATTGGCCAGCGTGAGACCCAACAGCTGACTGACACGAATGTTAACTAGCATGCTAGCATGCAAAAAAAATCGATAGCTGCATTCGTCACAAGTGGGAAACATTTAAATCTGCATGGCACTTTACTCCAATTGGCTCATTCGCTTGCTTAAACTCAACGTTGATTCTGATTCCGCAGAACAGGGTTGGGTGTGAAAAAGTATTTGTTGTTAACATTTTTTTTCGGTTTTTTGCCGTGTCATAGGTGGTCCACATACAGAACACTTATGAAATCGGTCCTATAATAAACTTATGATGTTCAACATCTAAACTATTCAATTTCATTGAGATAGACTTAGTAGCTTTCAAGATAATTGCTTTTAATATGATGTCAGATTTTTTAGGACACCCTGTATTTTAATAGATGTCTAATTTGGCTTATTTTTTTTTAAAAGTATAGCTTTCATTATTCGGTTTCATTTTAATACTGGCGCTAGTTGGAACAGCTTATTTGAAGAATAGTACCCCAAACGCTCATATAGAAAATTCAAAATATAACCGAGTTTAGCTCTTCAAAATTTGCCAGTTCTTGCAATATTCGTTGGGGTATATCTAGATATCTATTTTCATCTTTGGTTCTTGTTTGAGCATAGTTTTTTCCAATGTTCTTAACTATCGTAAAACTAATTTAGACATTCAAGCCGGTATTCGATCGATGTAATATTGAATGTTTCGTAGATTTGATTTTTACGGCTCGTGAGCTTATTAAAAGCAGAAAAAAATTAGAATGTAATATTTTTGGGGGTGGTTGGAGGCTTATAACTTATTGGGACAAGTCTTTCTAATAAAACCACAACTGCTGTAAGTGAAGAAAAGGTGGATTCGTACCCATCCCAAAAGTATTTGCGCGTTAAGTAAATATAAGAACCCCACTAGAATTCGAAACCAGCTCTCAGATTTTCAATTTACAGCGCTTTTTCCTTACACCAACCACACATCCAAGCTTATAGCAAACTAGAATTCCCAAGCGGTCAATCATCTAAACACTAACTAAACTCGCCTTTGATTAACTTCGATGATGGTAAGAGAACTCGTGTTTCAAAGGAATATGGCCGTTGCTCTGTAAGGCATAACAGAAACATTAGGTCTAGAATTATTACATTTTAATATAACACAATGTTTAACCCAAGGTATGAAATGATATGGTACCTTGTTATTCTTCTTTGTTAAAATCAGAGAAACCTTATTTTGACGCTAAACAAATTTTTGGCGCATGCGTGGTTGTAAAGAAATAATGTTTTTAAGAAGATAAATGTAATTTTCCTCTAAGTATCTGAGTGCGAACGTTATGGCTTTGCTTTGGGATCGAATACATATATATATCTTTTATTCATCTTACGGAAACCTTTTTAATTTCTATCAGTATGAATGATGCTAACCCTAGGAGAGTGACTCATTGCGCCTTCAGTGACAAACGTTTTCAACTGACATGAAGTGGAAATAGAATACTGAATCATCTGCTAATTCTACAGCTAAGAAAGTTGGTTGACTATGTCGTGCTAGACAATTTTTTTTTGCCAGAACCTGTCTTACATATTTAAAAGTTTACCATTCATTCACGCTTTGAATATTGCTGTCACATTTGATTTGGAACTTCTGCTATATATCTAGAGAGTCTTGGTAAAGTCTAAAGACAACTCGGCTTCAAACCCTTTCCCACCGATGTAATGTAGCCTCCCTGTGATTTTTCTATGAATTCCTTCAGGGTAATTGTTCTGATGAACTTTTAGATATTTTCCAAGACATTACGAATTTAAGCGCATTACTAGATAGACAGCATGGTTTTATCATTAAACCGTTATTTTTATGCTAAATTCTTCTATCGCAATTCTTGTGGAATTCTCTTACGGCTTCTTGCTTTCCAGTCAACTTTGATCATCAAAAATGTAAATGCAATGTCAATCGTTATCCTGTGTCTTCATAATTATATTTCTTTTATAGTCCTCTCTGCTGAATAGTAATTTTTTTCTCATATTATCTAACACTTAGTAACCCCTTGCGCCTCAGTAGCTTTAATACCTTGCTTGGGGTGAAATGGATTAATAAAATCATGTTACATTTATCTCTAAACCGACATTTTGATTCATTCTCTGCACCTGGCAAGACATACGATGAACCCGACGCCACGAAAAGATATTCGTGAACACCGTATTTTGTAAGGTCACAAAAAAAAAGGTTGTTCAGTGTTCCTAATCAGATATTACCTTGTTCAATAAAATGTGTTGGCAAAATTCGACTCGTTTACTGGAGAAAGAAAAGTTTAACCCTTTATGTCGGTGTCGGGTAGTTTGTAGAATCTGGAGCTACGGAAGCGCAGACATGCAACGGAACATGAGGGAGGCTGGGGAACAGAGATTTGTTATGGCAACATTCGACTACTTTACTGGAGAAAGAAAATTTTAACCAGTTACGTCAGTGTCGGGCAGTTTATACAATCTGAGCATAAGTGTTTAACATGTATAGGCTGCGGAAGTGTAGTCATGCAACAGAACTTGAGGAAGTCTGGTGAGTAGAGCTTTGTTATGGCAAGAACGAATAAAAGAGAGAATAAAGTGAAAAAAAAACTCTGTAGCAACGTAAACAGACCAATTTCAACTGTCTGACCTCGTAAGGAATTGAAATACCGGGAGGATAACATATTTTGCCGAATTAAATCGTGAAAAGTGAAGCATATATATTGATAAACCGAAACCTCATGTTTGAGTGAAGACTTTTGAAAAGAAAGGAAAAAGAACTGCACTAACAAAGCAACAACTATTTAACGACATCAAGCTATGAATTTAAGTAAATCATAAGCCCGAAATTCAAATCAGTTCAAAACATAATACGCCAGGAATTGTTATACTTTTACATTGTAGTATAAAATAAAGATATTAGAAACTGAAAATGAATGTTATATAGTGAAAGTGAAAGTTACAAAGTGAAAGTGAAAGTTACAAAGTGAAAGTAAATCAACAAATAAAATAAGAGCAAGAAAGATTCAGATGAAAGTTAGAGATTATTCAGTTATAACTAAATAAACTTCTGCAGAGAGGAATCGCTACGTAACATTTAAACAATAACAGAATAGCGGAAAAGAATTTCCCTGATGTAACAAGCAACAGTGACATCGTGACACCTTGCACACTTTTAAAACTTTTGATGTTAACAATTAAACTGTTTCACCATAAGCGACCTCATGGTGATTGGCTAAACGATGTTGTCCTATGAAAAGGCGACTATCTATCTATCTATCTATGTTTTTTTCTTGCTATCTATGCATCTATTTACCTATATTATTCTTTCTTTTCATATCTATCTATCTATCTATCTATCTATCTATCTATCTATCTATCTATCTACCCTTGTCTTTTTCTTCCTATCTATCTATACGTGTCTTTTTCTTCCTATCTATCTATCTATCTATCTATCTATCTATCTATCTATCTCTGTTATTCTTTCTTTTCATATCTATCTATCTATCTATCTATCTAAACTTGTCTTTTTCTGCCTATCTATCTATACGTGTCTTTTTCTTCTTATCTATCTATCTATCTATCTATCTATCTATCTATCTATCTATCTATGTTATTATTTCTTTTCATATCTATCTATCTATCTATCTATCTTTGTCTTTTTTTCCCTATATCGGATTATTAGAAATGCTTCTTTATCTATCTATCTATCTATCTATCCTAAATAGATAGATAGATAGAAATCAACCGAATTGCATATATATATATATGTGTGTGTGTGTGCGTGTGTGTGTGTGTGTGTGTGTGTGTGCAATTCTGTTCATGTCTGTCTGTCTATCTATCTATGCCATTCTGTTCATGCCTACAAATACTTCCTATCAATTTAATATATTTTCACTTTTCTTTTTCTCACTCAATAGATATTCTCAACTATATAAATCGAATGCAGATTCTACATTATCGTAGAATGTCTTCAAAAAAGACATCTAATATTATTAAGATGTTCAAAAGTCAAAAACACAAGCAAATCGCATTAATGTAAAAGTGAACGATTTTTTCAAATTGTTCTCCATGTTTTATCTCCAATGTCATCACCAATCGGAGATATGTCGCACTTTTACAAAAGTCGCACCCGGTTTTGGAATTAAATATTGTTTCAAATTTATTTAATAAAAATTTGTACATTTCAGATTACTTTATTATCTCAATCACCATTCCTTCTACATAGAATGCACATATTTATAAAAGTAACTCGCTTCAACATTCCTCGTTCACAATTTAATTTTCCTAAAAATATATTTAGCTCACGAGACTAATTATTAAATTTAGTTGCTTTTACGATTATTTTAGAGTAACTTTTTCGATGATGTGGTCACAGACATTTTGGGAGTTGTTATTAGTAGGCAACAAATGTTCCTCGGTTCAGCCAATTGGATCTAAGACAGTGAGTAGTGTATTATTATTAATGCTGGTATAATTATTAGTATTATTAATATTATTATAATTAACACTCGAGAGAAAAGCGCGATTTAAGAAAAGAAAGAGAAAAGAAAAGCAGTGTTTGACAATGTTAATATCCTTTAATTTATTAACGTTCTTTCTTTCTTTCATTGTTTTTCTTTCTTTCTTTCTTAGTTTTCTTTCTTTCTTACTTTTTTTAACTCAGTTATCTAGGTATATACTTTTTTTCTTTAAATTTACTCGGTAATCTTTCTTTCTTTCTTTCTTCTTTTTTTCTTTTACTCTGTTGCCTACCTTATTTTTTTAACCCTTTCACTGCTACTCATTTGCCCAGTGCTGCCCCCATCCGGCCAGCCATTTTTTAAAAAATGTCAAATTTCAACCTACATATTTCATTACACAGAAAACTGGTACCAGTGTGTTTTACAGCATTCTATTTTCATGGATATACCTGGGAATGTCTTACTAGATCAGTAATGGGTAATATCTTTTGAAGCATTGTCCTTTGTGATTTTATAGTAGATGGCGCAATGGGACACTCATACCAGCGGTATGCAAAAAACGTAGGTTTCCGTACTTAGCCAGCTGGAGCAAGATAAGAAAAACGAAGATCTCTGTAGTTAGCAGCGGTAGTGTTAAAAAAATATTTCGTTAATATATCTGTCTTCGTCCAAGGGTGTTTCATTAAGACGGATTATATGTAAGGGTGTTTCATTAAGACGGATTATATATAAGGGTGTTTCATTAAGCCGGATCAAAATCAGCAGTAAATAAATCAGTGTTATTGGTGAAAATTTATTTATTTTTCTATTGGATCATGCTATTTAAGTCATGGCAATTATGTGTGAAAAATAATATCGCCCAAATATTCGTCAAATCTGAAAAAATCAAAAAAAAATCATCAGACGCTTAAACTTAAAATCGGTTCAGGTTATTCGCATACTCATTATTTAAAACATTTTTCAAGTATAAAAATATATAGATCTACAACAAATTATAAGTCTTTGTAAAAACGGCTGAACTTTTATTGCATTTTATACCTCAATTCTCTTCACTAATTTGTTTAACTTAGGGAATGTTACTAAATAGAATAATCAGACGATCGTTGGTAATGAACGATAATACTTAAGACAAGAACAAAACATATAAGATTCGCCAACTGCTAGACGTGAGTCAAGTGAACTCCACAATGAATCTTCAACTTCAGGATATCTACCAACCATCCCACGCGGTCAGATGTATCAGAAAGCCGAAATCAATGTGGGAAAACCTATCCCGTTGGCTTAGCCAAAGATTCCCCGTAGACCGCGTATAAAACGGGGTCCGGGAGCTGTCTCGACATTGCCTTGTCTGGGAATCCTCTCTGCCTCCAGGCAGACATTTTGTCCAGTACAGCTGGTGACGAATCTCCAACTGCAGGATATCTACCAACCGCCTCACGCGGTCAGATGTGGCACAAGGCCGAATTTAATGTGGGGTATCCGAGCCCGTTGGCTCAGGCAAAGATTCCCCGTAGACGCCGTATAAAATAGGGTCGGGTAGCTGTTTCCCGAGACGAGACTCTGCCATTCGACAAAGCCTAGTCTGGAGATCCTCTCTGCCTGGAGGCAGAGAGTTTGACCAGTACAGTTGGAGACGAATCTCCGACTGCACATCAACATACAGTATTTACGTGAAAGGGGACAGACCATTGTCGTCTGTACGTAGGCTACAGCACTAATGTCTTCTCATTCTTTTCACTCCCCATAAAAACTTGAAGTTCTGAAAGGTGTAACTTCGTAGCATTTTGAATTCTGCATGTATTTTCTGTTCAAAATCAAATTCCTCAAAATTTTGTTTGCTCATAAAACATCCATAATTTCAGTACTCTTTACGCAAGAATTCAGAACTGAAATTGATGGAACGTTAAATATATTTTCTCTTAATTTCGGAGGAAATATTATGGTAGATACTGTTTGTTTGTTTTATGTTTGTTATGGTCCGGTTCCTTGTACCACGGTGATAGTCCAAGGTAGAACCAATAAAGAAGAACTCGAACACGGATATGGAATAACAAAGATATATTACAAACAGGAATATAAACAGAGAAGTAGAAAGTGTTAGTACGAACAATCAGCTTTACTAGTAATTGTCTGAACGCGACTCTGTTTCGGACTGCCTCTGACTCGACTGACTGACTCGCTCGCTCTGACTGAGACTAGTCACGGACTTCACTCCAGACTTTAGACTGAACTCCCTGCTTCCTCTTGAGGCGCAGTATTTATTACGTATGGAATAGTCCAATATATTATTATGGGTAAGGTCCCCTAACAATGTTTGGATTGCTTCCACCATTTGACGATGTCAATTCATTTCTTTTCCTGGTTCTCAGTGAATTTCTGAAATAAGAAATTTACAGTCAGAGATCTAGTAGAAATATTTAACACATTTTTATAGAAAAAATCTTTAACAATAAATATAAACGGTAAAATATCATCTTACCATTAAAGTTTACATTTTTTTACTTCATTGGAAAGATGTTTTTTCCTATTCTTCAAAAATGTATATTCGAAAAACATTCTCAATTCGTTTACATCATAACAGATTTTAAAAGATTTTTAGACGGTTGAAAGATTCTCTATTGGTAATACTAAGAATTCTTTCGAGACTTGGTGGTATCAATATGTACTGTCCTTTACTAATAATACATATAGAAATAATACATTACCTTCCAAATATTTTAGAACTTGAAAGATGATAATAAATCTCATAAGGTGAAATGGAAATTTTTAAAAAATTGCAAGGACATGTAGAATCTTATATGAACCCGGTTTTCTGTATTTACATGAAAAAGAATGTTTTATTAAACCAAAGATCCGAGTTAACCGTAAGTTGTAAACAAAATCTACCTTTTACCTTACAATTCAGTTAGACTTGGAAATTCACAGTCATTTTTCCTAAATTTTAGTTGAATTATGTTACATCATATATGACTTATCTTTCTATTTGTAAGATTAATTTGGATTTAATATAATTTTGTATTAATCTCCTGGTAGTATTGGTAACATCTTGTAAAGAATATATTGGTATTTAGACGGTATTTTTGACATCTTGCATTGATTGGTTATTGTTATTAACACTTTCTATAAATAATCCTTATTCAAGTGTTGCATATTAATTTACAAAGTAAGTCCACACGTTTGTATTAGTGACTGGTTTCTTAAATAAGCCATTTATTTATCAACTATAAAAATGATTTATTTTGGATTGCTTCCGCCATTTGACGATGTCAGTTATTTTCTTTTCTTGATTTTCAATGAATTTCTGAAATAAAGAAATTTACAATACAAGATCTAGTAGAAATATATTAAAGACATTTATATGGAAAATTAATTAGCAATAAATATACACGGTAAGTCATAATTACATTATCTTGCCATTAAATTTGCATTTATTTCACTTTATTGGAAAGCTGTTTTTCCTATTCTTCAAAAATTTATATTATAAAACTATTCTCAATTCTTTTAAACCATATCATCATAACAGACTTTTTCTATCGTTAAAATTAATTATTAATCAAGGAAAATAAATCTCTTCCTGAGTGTCCGTTTGTACTAAAAAATATACCTATGAATTTATATCTAAATAAACTGCAAATACTGTCTGTCCGACGTTGTGTCTGAAACTCCTCTAAATCGTCCCACACTTATTCTATTCAGGCATATTATACATTTGTGAAATCAGGATGATCCCAGTATTGAAAAACTGCCATTTGTATTATACATTTGTGGAATTCGGGTGGTTCCAGAATTGAAAAACTACCCCTAATCTGGTACTTGGGATTTTGGTCCGGATGAGATGGGAACAGTTACAAATTCATATTTTAAAATAACTCTAATAAATTAATGATTTTAAGTTTTTAATTTATATTGAGTTTAAAATAACACAAAAACTTTGCGAATTTAATGTTTTCTTTTGTTTAAATGCAGTTTAAAATATATCCCGAACTTTGCGAATTGAGGAAATCAATTTGATTTCTTCAAAATGCCAAGGAAATTGAGTTGAAGCCAGAGGTTTCGTGAGGTGAGATTTTTAAGTTCCGCAGAGTTTGTTAGTTGAAGAACACAACTCAACTGATGTTCAACGAAATTTGTGATTTGAAGAACTCAATTTATGGCCTGAATTGGAACTTCAGTGTTTTTGTCCGAATAGGACTTTTTTGCCTAAATCGAACTTTCCACCCAAATCGTTCTTCTGCTCGGGATTGGCCTTATAGACTGAACCAGAG